TGGCTGTTAAACATCCAAGAAGGTTAGTTCCACCAGTCTGGTACTTTTAATTACCATGTGCCATGTAGATAAAGCTTGGGCGAAGACCAAACATTCTCAGATAAACCTTGCCTAGATATGTATTATAGTCCTTGAGCTAGCTGTATGTATAATTTGTAAGGAGGTTGTTTGATTAATATGGTTCCCTATGTTTTTATTGTAAAACTACCTAGGCATTATTTATCTCTCGCATTGTCTAATATTTCCATCATGGTTTCCCCATTTAAAGTGCCCCCATTTTCCCATTTCTCCCTTAATAATACCCTTCTCCTACAGTCCCACCCCTTTGAGCTCCTTCTTTCCCTTTATCCCCAAGTTTCCTTGTATAACCCTCCCTTTCCCCTCCCCTTAAAATAACCCCATTTTTATCCATATCTCCCTTATTAATGTCTGTTTCCTACTGTTCTTCTCTTTCAGATTCTTTCTTTTCCTTTACCTCCCTGGTTCCTTTTCATTATCCTGGTTCCTGTAGTTATGTCTGGATACATACGCACTTGTAAGGATTTGATACTAGGACCCACATATGAGGGAGAACATACATCATTTTTTTTTCCTTCTGAGTCTGTGTTACTTCACTTCGTATAACAGTTTCTAGTTCCATCCATTTACCTGGAAATTTAATGATTTCATCTTTCTTTACTGCTGAGTAAAACTCTATCATATAAAAAAACATTTTCATTACCACATTTTTGTTAACCACTCATCAGTTGAGGGACACTTGGGTTGCTTCGATCTCTTAGCTACCGTGAAAAGAGCAGCATCAAACATGGTTGTACAAGTGTCTCTACAATAAGATGAGTCCTTTGGATATATGCCAAGGAGTGGTATAACCAGGTCATATGGTAGGTTCATTTTTAGTTTTTTTAGTTCTCCATACTGTTTTCCATAGAGGTGGCACAAGTTTGCAATCCCACAGCAGTGAATGAGCATTCCCTTTTCCCCACATCCTCTCCAACATTTGGTATCATTTGTTCTCTTGATTTTAGCCAGCCTGGGGTAAGATGAAATCTTCAAGTGGTTTTAATTTTCATTTTTCTAGTTACTAATGATATTGAACACCTTTAT